ATAATATCAGCCCGAGCCCCATCAAATGTCAAAGAGACTGGTTTTATTTGCCGCCAAAATAAAAGATGTAAACTGGAAAATAAAAACCCAACAGAAAACCAACCGAGCTCAGCTCAAATGAAGGCAGAAGAGATCCATGCGCCATGAACCGCGGGAAGAAACCAACGAAATATCAAAAAATAATCGAAGAGGAGAAGGAGGAGGAAGGCTCCGTCCCCTGGAGAGAATGGCCGAGGCTGAAGTGTAGAAAAACAAAGAGCTGGGGGAGGGAGAGCAGAGGAGTCCGGCGCGGGGTCACAGCTCGCCCGACGTCTTTATGACGTGAAAGAGCGTGACGTTGTAGATGACCTGGTGGCCGTTGTTCCAGGTGTAGAGCACCCTCTCCCGCGGGTTGTAGTCCAGCATGGATATGTGGGAGTACTGGTTGTGGAAGGGAATATCCGTGTATTCGTAGCTGGAAGTGTTTGTGTAGTAGGCAAAATAGATCTTGGCGCCGGCGAGGTGGGAGTTGGTGACGTAGAGCGTGCCGCAGATCATGAAGGACTCCCCGGCGCTTCGCTTGGGGTAACCCGTGTCCCAGCTCCGCAGGACCTCCAGCGTCTGGGGGTCCACCCGGCTCACCACGATGTTGCCGGCGTTTTGGTTGGTGGTGTAGACGGCCCAGAGCCCGCTCTCGTCCACCATGAAGTCGATGTCGGAGAAACCGCCCCAAGAATAAGGGAAGGTGTTGTTGTAGCCGGCGCCGGCGAGGCTGCGCTGCACCAGCACGCTGCGGGAGCGGAAGTGGTACTTCACCGCGATGTTGCTCTGGTATTTGTTGTAGTAGAGGGACCCGTTGAAGACCACGTGGCCGGTGCCGGCCCAGGGATGCGGCAGGAGGTGCTGCACGAAGTTCTGTCCCGTCACGAAGTCGTTCAAGGTCCGAAACTCCAAGACGCGGCGGCCCTTGTAGTAGCCGTCCATGTACCACACCTGCAGCGGGCTCTGGTTAGGGGTGCCCGGCCGAAACGCGGCTCCCCCCACCCCCCCACCTCACCGCGATGGGCGCCCAGGACAGACGGACACGACCCATGTCCTGCTGCCACGCAGCGGGACGCACGATTTTTCTGGCTTTCCCCCTTGAAACGTGTTTTCCGCTCTCTCTGCAGCTCCAACGCCTGCCTTAGCCCTCGGCAGGGCTCCGCAGAGGCAGCCCGTGCCCCACGTGCAACGGAGCGGAGGGTTTGCACCCCGGTGAGCGTGCACCCGGGCACGGGCACCCCAGGCAGGGTGTAGCCCGGGTGCACGGGCAGCGTGTGGCCCAGGGAGTGCACGCCAAGGTGCACAGGCCCCAGGCAGCGTGCAAGGGCA